AGGAAATGATTACTCGGCTCATATTCGAATTTGCTCATTCTAATATCTTTGCAACCTAAACTTTTGAAAATTCGAATTTCAACTTCTTGATCTAACAAAATTCTTAGTTTAAATTATCAACCACGGCATCTGGATGCAAAGATATAAGGATTAGAAATTAGAGTTTTAAACACTTTTATCTTAATAGTAATTGAGTTAGTCTCCGAATTAAAATCGAAAATTCCTGCGCTCCTGTAGGTATAAGCTGTCTGAAAATCTTAAATATTTTGAGTATACAGGACCCAAGTTGGTTTGCAAAAATCGAAAAGACATAAATAAATTCAGAACTAAATCATTTTGAATAAGAATATCCAAATCTTATTTCAAACCCAGATTGACAAACACGTTATTCAAACAAAATTTTGACCTGAGCTGTTTTTTTTGTAAAAGTGGAATTGCAGTCTCATCCACCACATAGATCCAGACAGCTATGAACAATTGCATCAATTTCCAAGACTTAGTCGACTTAATACCTCACTAACTTATTTATATATAGACATGTACATTTCAAAACTATAAAGTACTTTGTTTTCAGCTATATTTTTAATAAAGTAATTGGCAAAATTCTCAACAATTTTTGAAGGAGAGCCATCAACTTTTGGATCCTTATTGAAAAAATATGCACACATTTTTTCTTCACGTTTAAATATTTCATTTCTACTTTTAATACTGACACCATTATTGTAGAAATAGTTGACAGAATTAGAATATTTAAAAGACCTTCCAAATCCAATATTGCAAGCCAAAACAAATTCAGTAAAATGCATTAAGTTCAAATTATGAAATGTGCAAATCTGTGGTTAATTGTGCTAATTTGTCCTTCAAAATATTGTATTCATTAAATAACGATTTAATTGAAAGGAACTCAGGTTTTCTCACCCATACATCTTTGCAATCAAATGTTGTAGATCTTTGGTATTTCAAACTAAACATTTTGTTGGTTAAAATAATCTGAGATTCTTTTTAAAAGATTTACAAAATTTTGAAGGTTTCAAAGATAAAAGGATTATTAAATATGAGTTTGGTTGAAGACCTCAGTTTCATTCCAAACCTGGAGATAGGGATTGTGTAGGAGGGGATTTAGAATGAAGAATCGTAAATTTTTTTAATTTCCCAAAATCGTGGGGGGGACGGGTGTTTTTGTTTTTAAAATTTAACTCTATTTTTTTATCTGAAAATATCTATTTATTTCTTTGGAAAATTAACACTTACCTCAAACAAATGTGACAAAGGTTTATACTATAAGATAGCAAGGATATAAGGATTATAATATTTGAGTTATTTGACAAAGATTTATACTATAAGATAGCAAGGATATAAGGATTATAATATTTGAGTTATGTGACAAAGGTTTATACTATAAGATAGCAAGAATATAAGGATTATAATATTTGAGTTATGTGACAAAGGTTTACACTATAAGATAGCAAGAATATAAGGATTATAACATTTGAGTTATGTGACAAAGATTTATACTATAAGATAGCAAGGATATAAGGATTATAATATTTGAGTAATGTGACAAAGGTTTACACTATAAGATAGGAAAGATATAAGGATTATAATATTTGAGTTATGTGACAAAGGTTTATACTATAAGATAGCAAGAATATAAGGATTATAATATTTGAGTTATTTGACAAAGATTTATACTATAAGATAGCAAGGATATAAGGATTATAATATTTGAGTTATGTGACAAAGGTTTATACTATGAGATATCAAAGATATAAGGATTATAATATTTGAGTTATGTGACAAAGGTTAATACTATAAGATAGCAAGGATATAAGGATTTCTATATTTGAGATATGTGACAAAGGTTTACACTATAAGATAGCAAGGATATAAGGATTATAATATTTGAGTTATTTGACAAAGATTTACACTATAAGATAGCAAGAATATAAGGATTATAATATATGAGGTATGTGACAAAGGTTTATACTATAATATAGCAAAGATATATGGATTACTATACTATTAACGACGAAGATAAAACCAATTATCAATAAAAATCGAAGTATAAAAGCATCTTTAATTCTCCTTTGTGTTAACTGATCCGAGAACATAACCTTAGAAAACCGATCTTTAACTTTAAGACTTTAAGAAATTCAAAGTCAAGATGTGACAACTTTTTAATTGATGACAGATCATACAATAATTATCCTTTTAAATTATTTAGTGCAAGGCGTTTTTAATCTATGGGGGATTTCTCCCCCCTACCGCCCCCCCCCATCCTAGATAGGGTCATTAAATGTAATTTTAAATGACTATTTCGTTAAATTTCATTAAAGTTTTAAAAAGCCCCTAATAAGAGATGGTTCGGAACTATAAGACATATATTAGAATTTTCTAAGTCTTTTATATCTTAAAAATCCACAAATTACTTTTAAGAAATCCACGGCATTAACCACAGGCGCGAAACTAGGGGGGGGGCAGGCCCCCCTGTAGGGGGGGGGGGGAGGTAAGAAGTCAACCCTGTTTTGCAATTTAGAGATTAAGGAATCCTGACTTTGAGTAATTTAAGAGCTCTGATCGTAAAATAAAAAAATAATAATTGAACGTTAGTTTATTGAGCTTATAGTTCAATTGATATAGCATTTAATACACATATAAAGAAAAGCTGCAGGGAAGAGAGGAGAATATCCTGTTTGCTTACAACCTTATGTCTGAAGTTCAGCTGCAATATACAGTGACATGCGCGAAAATGTTACTGTACATTTCGGGCAAATATTGGAAAGATCATCCAACATTATGGAAGAATTGGATATAGACATCAAGGTTCCCAGGATAGCAGGGAGACAAACCATGAGGGCAAATGTGCCATATTCAACTGCAGAGGAGTATTATAAGAGAGTCTTAGCATTACCGCTACTGGATGCTATACAACAACAGCCAAAGGAAAGGTTTACAAAATTAAGCATATCAGCTTCCAAGTTTCTTGGGCTTGATCCCAAATGTATGGTAACAAAAACTAGCGACGAAATGATTTCCTCATTGGCATCAGATGTAAATTTGTATGCCAAAGATTTCTCAGAGGATGAAAAACAAATATTAGAAACACAGCTACTCACCTATCACAGGTATTTACTGCGACAGGAATAAGTTCAAGATGCAATCAAAACTGATGTAATGAAATTGGTTCCATTAGTACGACGGTTAACGCAGATAACCCTTACCCTCTAACGAAGGATCATTTGAGGAATGAGAAGAGTATTCTCTTACCTGAGATCAACCATGACCACATAACGTCTTTCAAACCCAAAGAGAATAGAATATATATTAGAGGGGAATTTACTAGACAAAAGTGTAAAACGGCCATTTTGTTGTACTGTTTCCATACTGCAGGTGTACTTCACATATTTATGCTATATAACCTTTAGGGCCTTGGAACAACATTTTATAGAAAATCTCAAATTAATACGAACCAATTTAGGAAATAGGCTGGTTTCATAAATGACCAATGATCATTTCACATAGACTCTATGCCTTTCAATTTACAAACGATGATTTTCCGTTATAACTATAAATCAAATGATGTTTTTTATTCACCTAATTCATTATAAATTTTATTTAACAGCTTTGAAAAATTCGAAATTGAGATGAATAGTCTAGGGAACATACTGTATTAATGTACTCTACTGCATATAATTTGTGAACATTTACATGATTTGTACACTTTGAACTCCCTTTCAGGCTGAAAGGGACTGAAAAAATTCATACCGAGAGATTTTCTAAATTCCCCTCTAATATATATTTTATTCTCTTTGTTCAAACCTCTGCAGGATGGTTGCTAAACCTGATCGTGTTGAAAATTCTAAGACCGAGGACATTTTGACAAAATTTATTGTAGGAAACCGCAGAAAGATATAAATATTTTTCTACTGACAGGAAATTCCTTAATCTTTGTTTTTTCATTATGCTGTTTTTTCCTGGGAAAGGGAAAGAGGGGGTTTTTAAAATATTTATAGATATTTTCACTATCAGTTCTGCCACTTATTATGATATTGCTTTAATACTGTATTACAACTATTAAATTAATCCTACATTTTCACCGCAAATATTGTGTAATGCAGTGTCATATTAAAAAAATATTTTTCATGTAAAATCATGATTTTTTAATGAAAGGCCTTTCTTGTCAGTGTCTGAGTAAAATGTACATATTTGATTTGTGAATGAATATATAAATATATATAAATATATAAATTGTAAATTGATTAATATTGTGATTTATATTAACCAGAATAGATTTCTTTTTTTATTCATATCAGATGTGTTGGCTTACTGAATATATATCCGGTTGGTAAGGTTAGTTTTTTTTATTGTTTGAGTAAAATACACATTTTTCTGCCCCCCCCCCCTAAAAAAATGTCTAGTTGGGCGCCTGATAACAAAAGATACTATCAAAACATTTTCTCGGCGATCTGTTTATTAATCATTTCAGAAACCACAATTGAAAATAATTAGTTTTTAAAACTATAAACATTGATATCTAATTCAATCTTGATCAGACAAAGCTTTTAAGGGTTTAGTTTGTTAACCGTGCATTGGTAATGGACATGGGTGACACGAAATTACGCTTGCAATCCCTTTAAACCTGAAATGCTTTCTTGTGATAACAGCCATAAAATGATCAACTCATTAACACCTCAACCTCTTGGGTTCTAAAAGTACTTGTTTATAAAGCGTGAACTTCTTATATGTTCGGCTAAATGTCATGTTCATTGTGTCGATCTTTACTTAACAATACAAAATGATAAGGAAGAAATTTGATAAGTGAACCATGATCATCCTTTTTTCACGGAGCATATATACTATACACTGACTAATCTTTTAATTTACGACCATTTGTTATTCATGCAATAGTTGGTTTGAATCAGAGTAAACATTATACATGTATACAGTGTGCGTTATATGGACGGAGAGCGCTCTTTCTCTGTGTACCGGGCCGACCCTTATATATAATAATTTCACTTAACTGACATATTATCAGTACTTTAATACCTACGGTGATATCAGGTAGGAGAAGTAAATATTCTAACCTACCCTGTATATTTAATGCTACCCGGAGAAAAAGTTAAACAAGACGTTTTATCAGTGTTATCAAAAACAGGTTTAATTTAAACTTGTTGCCTGCATATGACTGAGTTTTGGTCAAGAATAATGATTTGAACGAAGTTGTCCGGTTTCACTTTTTAGTTTCTCTCCGACTACCGTAGCAATACAATCATTATGTGAGATTTATAATTCATAACCAAAAATTGCCTCAAACTCTAATTTTCTAATTCATATATCTTTTCAACTTTTCAACAAGGAAAGAAAATTTCAAGTTTATGTCAAGTATTTAATCATCGTTTTTGTCTTGAAACCTTTTCCTAGGGTAGAATTGAATATACATGACGTTAAATAGTGTAAAAACAACATTATAAACTTTCATTCTATGAAATATTTTCGTTAAAGTTTCTCATGTTGTTTGTTATCATTTAAAATTTAGTTATTAATGTTTTTAACTGACATTTATAGTGACTGACACATATTTACTTTAAAGCTTATTTTCTAATTAGTTAAAAAGCATATATTTTCTCATTCCTTGTCCTTTTAAAGATATTAAAAATTAAAAATGTAAGTTAAGAAATTTTGAAAATAGGTTTTTAGTTAATATGTTTACTAAAATTATACTTTTAACAACTGACAAAAGACGACATATGTGGTTATACAGAATACAAAAAACAGAAAACAAATTACAAATGCAGAATACGTAATGGAAACTTTAGATTACAGTAAACAGGATAAGGCATGCACTGTAAATTACGGATTATAGAACACAGAATACAGAATACAGATTACAGATTACAGATTATAGATTACAGATTACAGATTACAGATTACAGATTACAGATTACAGATTATAGATTACAGATTACAGATTACAGATTACAGATTACAGGTTACAGATTACAGATTACAGATTACAGATTACAGAATAAAGAATAAAGAAGAATATATAATACAGAATACAGAATACAGATTACAAATTACAGATTACAGATTACAGATTACAGAATAAAGAATATAGAATAGAGAATACAGAATGCAGAATACAGAATACAGATTACAGATTTCAGATTACAGATTACAGATTACAGATTACAGATTACAGATTACAGATTACAGACTAAAGAATATAGAATACAGAATACAGAATACAGAATACAGTTACAGATTACAGATTAAGATTAAAGATTAAAGATTACAGATTACAGATAACAGATTACAGAATAAAGAATAAAGAATACAAAATACAGAATACAGAATACAGAATACAGAATACTGAATAAAAATTACAGATTACAGATTATAAAAAATTACAGATAAAAAAATACTAAATACAGAATACAGAATACAAATTTCAGATTACAGATTACAGATTACAGATTGCAGATAACAGATTACAGATTACAGAAAACAGAATACAGAATACAGAATACAGAATACAGATTACAGATTTTAAAAAATTACAGACTTAAGAATGCAGTACAGAAAACAAAATTTGTAGAATGTAGAAAAGTCTTCATTTTTCTATTTGTTTTTAATTTATGTATTTTCCTAACTAACAGACTAACACCTTACTTTGCATTTCACAACTCAACCCCCTCCCCTTGCACAAAAGCACATCGTGCACCTATCATCACTTTAAAATGCACTTTTGAGCATTTAAAAGTGACAAACTGCATAATACAAAGTGTCCATAATTTTCAAAAGCTTTTTCGACTGAAGCACAAAATGCACAAATCCTTCTTTCTGCCAAAAATCTCATTGTATTGTGCAAAAACACTGTGCACAATGTGCTAAATGGATTAGGTTTACAACTTGCTTAATCACTAAATCTAATTCTAAAATGCAATTTTCTGAATATTTTCTTGACCAACTATTTTCTCAGCTTGTGCATGCTCTGCCAGTAGAATACGGTGTTATAGCAGACAAACCAGGGATCCCTGGGACAGAGTTGGCATTATGTTTGATTTTTTCTCAAATTTTAAAATTTCGGAAAACATTTTTTCTTTCCAGTTAAAGAAAATGTAATCTTTTAGTAAAGCATTATCCATACAATCATACACAGAATAAGCGAGGAATCCTATTTGAAAGTTTGATTTTTTACATTTGCTAATACTTGAGCAATTAACAAGGCTTCGGTTTGTTTAATTAAAACTAATCCGTTGAGTAGAGTTATGTGGTTTAAGAAGGAAACCTTATTATGGCACGAAGCAATCACTTTCACTTAAATTTACCAAAAAAAGTGAAAATATTTATTAATTATTTAAACTGTTTACAATTTAAGCGTGTTTTAGTGCCATGGGAATTTAATTATTTTTTTTTACTTTTGATCCATCAATAAAATGATTAGATTCCATAATTACGGTTGAAACGTGTAACGACAAGGACTATTTTGAAACTATCCGACACTAAATTATGAAAATTTTCTGGGAATTTTCTTTGTAAAATTCAGATGTTATGGTCAGTGGTTTGTAAATAAGATTTTGAAATGCAAGTTCAGAGAAATCTAAGTTTCACAACATTTGCCTGGTACAAGTGTGTATATTAATGAATGTGCAGGTGGGTCAGGGGGTACTAGGGGGTAATTAGAGCTTGATTAACAGGGTCAAGGGGTTGGGACTTGAAGAACACATAGTTACACAATAAAATTCTTTTTTTACACAATTTTTGCTTGTTCAACGTAAAACTTGTTAAAACTCCTTTTTTACGCACACTTCAGTAAATGATAGAAATTGAATGTTTAAAATTTAATTAAATTAAATTTCAATTTTCTAAAAAATAATAATTCTCCAAATTAAAAAAAAAACACTTCATACCGAAAAATTTCCCTATACTTAGATTGCTTGGATGCCGCCAGATTTGGATAGATTAGTAAGTTTCACTTAGTAGAGTTGAGAGATGGGGGTAGATAGAGATGTTGAAACGTAAAAGAAAAGAAGGAGAGGGGAAAGAAAAATATTGAAGCGAATTCAAGATGAGTTGTAATCAATTATATGAAGTTAATCTGGAGAAAAAAAGAGAGGAAATGAGAAAAAGAATTAAACTAGTTTAAAGGAAAGAAGTGAAAAGGGTTCAGTAAAACGTAATGTTCCACTTAATTACAATATTAAAAGTAGGAATACAATTAGGAATATAGAGGGAAAGTGTAATTAACTTTAAAGATTAACTACCAAATAGTTAAGAAAACTTCCCCCCTCTTATCATTAATAAAAAATGAAAATCTCATATTAGCATATTTTCTACAAAGCTCGAGGTCTCTACTCTTACAGTCTACATCTGTCGATAAAAGCCGGGAATTTGAATGCATTGCTGTACATTGATTTATTCACATAATTACATAGTTTACAGGATTTTTATTACTTTTCTAAGGTTGATGATTTTCAAACATAGTCCCATATCAGTCCCGGGTCCCGGGTAGGTTCTCTGTATACCACATCAACACTATTCTAAACACGATAAACCTTTAAACAAGATTGATTTTTCTAAACTACTGGTCAGGCATGTCTGGGAGAATACATAAACTAAAAGCTTAATTTTGCTGAAACCAAACTGAGTTTTTTATTCCTTGCTCAGGATGTTTACAAAGACACTTCTCATGGCATTCTTGATGGGGGTCTCCGCGGCCGAGGAGTTCGTAAACTCTGATTTAACGGAAGGAGAAGGAAGATTTCTCTACTTTAACTCCAGCAGTACAGCAACCTCACTTACACTCCTCGGGGCTATTATCTTACTCGGAGTAATTTTCTACCTAGTCTATGTTGGAGGACTTCTCTCCCCTGCTGCCAGCTCCGGATATGCTTATAACAGGAATGATTACTATAATCAGTATGATCAGTATAACCACGCCAGGTAATAAAATAACAGGCAGTTGTAAAGAATACAGTGATGTTATGTCGAAGCTATTAAGTCGGGTTCAGTTCTGTCTCCGGATGTGTAAGTAAGCAGAGTCACTATTTATTGTTGCAGCATGATCACTGAACCTCAATATAGCAACCTCACATCCTTTCACCCCCCCCCCCCTGAAGGTTGACCTCTGTGTACACATCCTTCACCTCTTCTTCTTCCTGTCCTTCTGTACTCCTTCTCTTTCAAATCAAGGTTTACAATTTTAAATATTCTAAGCTTTTCATTTTCCAGCCATGATCGCCTTAATCCTTCTTCAAACCCTTCTCCTCAACCCAGTCTTTGGAGACTTTGCAAAACCTTTCCTGTACCATGATACTCACAGTCCTAGAGTCCTACCCCGAGTTCCAAAACTCTTCCTTCAAGATCCCCAAATGTTGGAGAAACTACGGGAGCAGCTAGATGGTTCCCTGCAACAGTTTGAAGATCCCCTGAAACTTATTGATGATCAGCTGCAGTTAAGCAGCTTTATCTCAAGGAAATCTAAACTCTTCTCCTCCGGGTCTATCCCTGCAGATACTACTGTCGGAGAAGTTGCTCTCGGAGAAAACAGATTCCTCTACACATACGTCAACTCTTCATCTTTGCTCACGGTGTCAGCTCTAGTAGGAGGAGGGTTCCTTCTGGTTGCTGTGGCTCTATATCTGTATGACTACTTCCTACTGGGCGGGGAATATAACAGAAATGATGAAAAAGTTAGTACGCAGAACGGATTTTATAACTCCTATGGATTTGATGCATCCAGGATTAAAAGGCGTCGGTACGTACCTTATACTTCACGCATGGATTGATCACCTATTTCCTGGGGTTGTTTGTGTGTGTGAGTACGTGTCTGTCTGCTAGTTAGGAATCACTGATCACAGATCAATTATTGATCTTCACTCTTTTAGGAACTATGTTTACACGTCATACTCTTGTCCTGGTTGGAGTTTGTACCATCATTTCCCAAACCTTATCACAAAACTTTGAGTTGGAAGAATTAAACCCGGAGCTTGATACATTTGGTTCAAGACAGCTTTATTTCAACAATACCATCAGCTATGCTATAGTAGCGGCAGGAGTAGTGGGGGTAGCTATTCTTATAGCAGCTGTAGCTCTTTATCTTTATGATTTTTATGGAACAACTAGGAGAAGCGGTTATGGAAGTTATAATAACTTTGTCCCAACAACAGAGGGTAACCCCAATCCTTACAGTACAAGAGGGAGAAGGTAAAATCCAAAACCCCGGACCTTTTAAGAAAAGTTTTTTGTTTACAATAGTTAGGATATTAGGAGGGAAAAAGTTTAAAATTTTCATCTTCGTTGCAAAATTTGTGAATAAAATACTAACACATTTTAACTAGAATTAGCTGTACATGTTTGGGACGCTTTAAAAGGATATTTTGCATGGATTTTTTTGGATTAAAGAGGCCTGATTTTATCCATTTTCAGACGTCATGGATTATTTTGTTGAACAATTAAGCGAAATCCTTGCTCCATCAACAGAAGAAAATGGGCGACAATTAAATTTAAATTTTACAAGCAATCTGCAAATAGCAGCGGCAGGATATTTATTCATTGCTCTTGGTTTGGGTCATTATTTCTATGGAAAGATGAGCGGCACGGGTCGGTCCTATCATAGTACTAAAGAAGGATATAGGAAAAGGTAATAGGGAACCCAGAGTAAGGTTTAGTGAGAAATTAGTTAATTTACCCTCTAGCTCTAGTTTGCGTATAAATTGAGTTATGACGCATTGTGTCAGATTTAAACACAATGGGGAAGATTTCTCCGTCTGCCCGTTTTTAGTCCTAACTTAGTTTACCCCTTGGCTTACACACGAGGGCTGGATACGCATTGCTGGTTTTTCAAGACTCGGAATCAAAACATGTCAGTTGAACTGAGAACTCTATACACTGCACACACACATAATCTCATTTCATTGTTTTATTTCATATTTAAATTTTCCTTTAAAAAAATGAACAAATGCTGACTCTGTCCTAACCTTTTATACTGAGGGATAGTTTGCTGCTTCGCACTTGTATTTAGAATCTCCAGGTTCATCCTTTCCTCCACTCTTACATTATTTCAGGCCGGATACATCCAACCCATCCTTACAATGCTGTTCTACACTGCCGTCTTCCTGACGTTACTGGGGTGCGGGGCTCAAGCTTACAGCGTGGATTTAGATACAGAATTATCTGAACTTGAAGCTGATCCTAGATTATTCTTTGTTAACTTTACTTCAAGTCTGATCCAAGTTAACACAACTATCCTGGCATACGGATTGATTGCTCTGGCCATAGCTGCAGGAGTTGCCATTGCTCTGTATTATCTGTATGTTGAATCCACCAGTAACAGTAGCTCTGGGTATGGTTATGGGCAGGGATATGGACAAAACTACGGGTACCAGCAGTATGCAAGGTTAGTAGGAGCAGGAGGAGGAACAAGAACATGGTTGAGAGAAGATCCAGTCACCGGAGCAATATTCATATCCGTAGCCAACTTCATGTCCATTACATTGCACACAACATAATTAACTTGACATATTTACGCATTCCACCGGATCCGATTCAACCAACTACAGGTCAATTAAAGTGTATCCTTGAAAATGACTATCATTAGTAAACACAGAGTTTTTATTTCGAGGTTACTTGGATAATGATTTATCAGGGGCATTGTTTTTTTATAAGATTGTAAATAATTTTATTAAGTGTTAGCCTAGAGGTTTAAGGGGGGGGGGTTAAAGATTGATAAAGCATAATGAGATTTAATTAATTAATCTTGGGAATGTATGAATTGACACAAAATTATCCACTTCCGGCTCAAACATGACTCGAGAAACTCAGAGAACTAAACGGTGACAGGAGCGGTAGCGCACTCAACCTTCTCTATATCTCCCCAGGCACCCTGAGTAGGAGAGAAACTTTAAATATCCAGGATATTGACGTTACCTTTCTTAAACTAGGATAATTTATAACAAGATGGAGAAATCTTCCCCCGGTTTAAATATGTCGGTTTTATGGGTTAACCAAGTTTAATGAAGAAGTCGGCATTACATCACTGTATTCAAATGATTATAAAAAAATATTGAAATAATTTAATTAACTTAAAAAAATTATAATTCAACTAAAAAGTTTGCAGATTATAATAAAGAAACAGTGGGATTTAAAACTTTTAAGACACTAAGTTTTAAAAACTTCAAGTTAGAATTAATTTTAAAATGTTTAGAAATGATTTTTATAAATTACTTTAATAGTCTTATAAATTCTAGAGTCCACTGTATGTAAATCATTTATCAATTAAAATTAAATTAAATTTAATAAAATCTATCAAATGAAAAAAAATTAAAAATGAATGTGCCCACATTTAAATGTATTTATCAGGTCTGCTAGCGATGGTTATGATTTCAACGGATTGAACGTGCTACAGTGGATCTCTATGCTCCAGGAGGTGTATGAGAAGTTCGACTACAACGACCTGGAGTGCCAGAAGAAGCTGATCTGCGAAGTCATGCAGGAGAAGGAACAATTTGGAGCTGTTGCAAGAAACATGAAGACCGGATTCGAGTAAGAGTTTTTTTTTATATCGTCAATAATTAAACTTTTTTGCAACCTTTTGGAGAAAACCTTCAATCTTTCAAACTTTCAAAATAATTTTCTTAACTCTTAAACTTATGTACAAGTTCGAAAAGCAAATATTTGTTTTTGTTTTAGGTTCGCCAAGTACCTCGAGGTCCTCAACATGCCCGATGACTTCAGGGAGATCCTCGACGAGTACATGGACGCCAGCGAGAGATCCACTGGACAGAAGGAGTGCACTGAGGTGTTTGAGTGCCCCTACTCCATCAAGGACTCAATTAAGAGAAACTTCTCCGGAAACTCTCTGTAAACTTAAACCTTGAAACCCGCCGACACAAGATTTTCATACTGAGTACAAATGAGGACAAATATAAATATATATAGACTGAGCGGGGACAGATTCTTGTAATGTAAGTACGATGTACTACCCGGATACTCCCCCGCCCCATTAAACCTGGACTAAACAAACCCTGCGTATAAACATCAGACCTAGAGACCGAACCAGACTCCAAGACTCCGATATCGGCCTGAAACCTGAACCATGAAACAGCTTATCGAACTAAACTTGGCTTGCATCGGTTCTGTAGCAACTAATATTATCATGACCTGAAGATGAAGGATAAATGAACCTATTTATCCGTGTAAACTTATTATTTAGTTATTTATTGTTAACTGGGATGTGGTCCCACGGTTTAGTTGTAAGGTTTAGTAAAAATTGTTACCTATGAGCTAGTTTATATATCTACCCAACCCTGTGGAAACCCTTGATTTCTCATTTTTAGATTCCTCTCTACACATACTTTTAGCAAGCAAGGGAATCTGAATCTTAGACAAGAGTTTCAACTAATATTGTGTTTAATAAAATATAAAACACCAAAACTATTATCTATCCATTTTAGAGACAATGTTAGTTGATGGTTTCACAACTAAAGCAATAAGATTGCCAGAAAATATTATTTGGATATCGACCTTAATATAATGCTTACTATTTTTGAGATTATTCGTTCCAAGAGTTGTCAAAATATAATATAAAATCATGAATATTTTAATTGAAATATTTTAGTTTTTCACACAAAATATGGATTTTGCTAGCCAATTTTTTGCTTTAGTAACCTTGCGCGAAAGAAAGTTTTCACAATTTATTTGCACTAGGCCTTAGGGCGCTTCGCGCCCATCTACTATTTCAACTTTTAATTGTGGCTCTATCTGTGAGTATCTTCTCTTTGTACAGTATAAAACAATAACAAAAAAAGTTCGCGGATCTAATAAAAGTTTTTTGTGGATTTTCAATGTGGATTCCCTGAGACTTACAGGTTTTCTGCAGCAGAGAGATTTTAAAAATTCAACACATTTAAAGATTAAAACTTTTTAAAAATCTTGTCGTTAAACGTTTTTGAAAAGGGACTCTGGCCATGATTCCCTAATGTCCAAATCACAACAAAGCTGTCTTGTGGATTTATGTTGCCAAAAGACAATGAAGGAAGTTGTCAGAATTCAACACGTTTAAAATAGGAAAAGAATATTTTCCTTATTTTTACTAAAACAGGTTTAAAGGGTACCGTTGTGAATTGGATATGCTACTCTTTAAATCACATTTGCAGCCTATTCAATGTTTATAACTTTAATTAGCGGACTGTTCATAAACTGTCACGTAAATCAGTTTAGAGTTTAGAGTTTAGAGCTTAGAGCTTAGAGTTCAGAGTTTAGAGTTTAGAGTTTAAAGATTAGAGTTTAGAGTTTAGATTTTAGAGATTAGAGTTTAGAGATTAGAGTTTAGAGATTAGAGTTTAGAGTTTTGAGTTTTGAGTTTAGAGTTTAGAGTTTAGTGTTTAGAGTTTAGAGTTTAGAGTTTAGAGATTAGAGTTTAGAGTTTAGAGTTTAGAGATTAGAGTTCAGAGATTAGAGTTTAGAGTTTAGAGTTTAGAGTTTAGAGATTAGAATTTAGAGTTTAGAGTTTAGAGTTTAGAGATTAGAGTTCAGAGATTAGAGTTTTGAGTTTAGAGTTTAGAGTTTAGAGATAAGAGTTTAGAGATTAGAGTTTAGAGTTTTGAGTTTTGAGTTTAGAGTTTAGAGTTTAGTGTTTAGAGTTTAGAGTTTAGAGATTAGAGTTTAGAGATTAGAGTTTAGAGTTTAGAGTTTAGAGTTTAGAGTTTAGAGTTTTGAGATTAGAGTTTAGAGTGTAGTGTTTAGAGTTTAGAGTTTAGAGTTTAGAGTTTAGTGTTTAGAGAATAGAGTTTAGAGTTTTGAGTTTAGAGTTTAGAGTTTAGAGTTAAGTGTTTAGAGATTAGAGTTTAGAGTTTAGAGATTAGAGTTTAGAGTTTAGAGTTTAGAGATTTGAGTTTAGAGTTTAGAGATTAGAGTTTAGAAATTAGAGTTTAGAGATTAGAGTTTAGAGATTAGAGTTTAGAGTTTAGAGTTTAGAGATTAGAGTTTAGAGTTTAGAGTTTAGAGATTAGAGTTTCAGAGATTAGAGTTTTGAGTTTAGAGTTTAGAGATTAGAGATTAGAGTTTAGAGATTAGAGTTTAGAGTTTTGAGTTTAGAGTTTAGAGATTAGAGTTTTAGAGATTAGAGTTTTGAGTTTAGAGTTCAGAGATTAGAGATTAGAGTTTAGAGATTAGAGTTTAGAGTTTTGAGTTTAGAGTTTAGAGTTTAGCGTTTAGAGTTTAGAGTTTGAAATTAGAGTTTAGAGTTTAGTGTTTAGAGTTTAGAGTTTAGAGTTTAGAGTTTAGTGTTTAGATATTAGAGTTTAGAGTTTAGAGTTTAGTGTTTAGTGTCACGTAAATCAGTTTAGAGTTTAGAGTTTAGAGCTTAGAGCTTAGAGTTCAGAGTTTAGAGTTTAGAGTTTAAAGATTAGAGTTTAGAGTTTAGAGTTTAGATTTTAGAGATTAGAGTTTAGGGTTTAGAGATTAGAGTTTAGAGTTTACAGATTTGAGTTTAGAGTTTAGAGATTAGAGTTTAGAGATGAGAGTTTAGAGATTAGTGTTTAGATTTTACAGATTAGAGTTTAGAGATTAGAGTTTAGAGATTAGAGTTTAGAGTTTTGAGTTTAGAGTTTAGAGTTTAGTGTTTAGAGTTTAGAGATTAGAGTTTAGAGTTTAGTGTTTAGAGTTTAGAGTTTAGTGTTTAGAGTTTAGAGTTTAGTGTTTAGAGTTTAGAGTTTAGAGATTAGAGTTTACAGTTAATTTTTGGTATACTAATGGCCCCCCCAAAAAACCGCAAACCTTTTTTTCTCTCAAAATCTAAAGTTCAGATAAGCAAAAATGTGTATATAAATTATTTCAATCGAAATCTAAAATTTTATAAAGATTGAATCACAGAATCACAGAAATTTGCAAAATTGTACTGAGAGAACTGAGAAAACTTGCAACTGAAAGTTGTTTTAAATGGCTTTACAGGTTTCAACTGAACAGCGTATATTTAAAACTTTAGAAAATACTAAGAAGAAAGGAACTAGAGAATTTACATAACTTTTCCTTAAAAATTAGACCATAACTGAAAATTGCGAATTTTCTTTTTACAATTTAGCGAATTTTCTGTGATTCTGTGATTCTATGTTCTATGTTATATGTTCTATGTTCTATGCTCTGAGTTCTATGCTCTTATAGTTCTTTCTTCTGTGTTATATGTTCTGTGTTCTATGTTCTAAGTTCTATGTTCTATGTTCTATGTTATATGTTATATGTTCTATGTTCTTTGTTCTATGTTCTATGTTCTGTGTTCTATGTTCTGTGTTGTGTTCTATGTTCTGTGTTTTATGTTCTATGTTCTATGTTCTATGTTCTATGTTTTATGTTCTATGTTCTATGTTCTTTTTTGAAACGTAATGAGTTTTTTTGAAAATATATGATTCATAGGTGGATGAAAGTCAGGTTTGGTCTGATTTTTTATGTTTACTGGTTTCTAAATTAACCTAGATTATCTCAGCTCTCTTCAATATCTGATTCTCTGATTTCAATTTCGTGCAGATTTTCTATCTATTTCTGTCTTCAGTTCCAACGAATATATAATTTATTACATGGCTTAAAATAACAAACAAGATTTTCAACACAGGTGTCAAGGAGGGTAAGAAAACATTATAAAAAGACTAAATACAGGGTTACCAATAAAATATCAGACTTTCCTAAATGCTGGAAATTTCATGAAATTACTGAACTAAATCTTCTGCATTAAAAAGATTGTGAAGTTGCAAGTGTGTTTCATTTTTTCACCTTGGTTTAATCAAGATTAATGAGATATCCTTATTTTTCTAGAAAGCTGTATTAGAAAAACTATTCTGTACTGCTCAAAGCATCATACTGTGAAGGAAAAGTAAGCGTTATTAGAAGTGACCCTCCATGCTGCGATGGCAATGACCGGACCACAATGGGTACCCTTATAAACCTTTATCTGCTCAATGATGTTAAGATATTGTCGTTTTTCTAGGTTTAAAATGGTAAAGATCTGATAGTTCTTATATTTTTTCCTGCAACCACAATCGAAAATAATCAGTTTTGAAAATAATAAACACTGCTATCTAATTCATACTTGATCAGACAAAGCTTTTGATGGTACTACTGTGAATTGGACATTACCACCTGTACATGGAGGGTAGCTTGAAACAGCGCTTGCAATCCCTTTACGGGTAACACTGTTTAAGAAAATTGCAACAGTTTATAAAAGTGATTACATTTGATGAAGAACAAAGAAAAGGAGTTGAGTTTCTGCCACCAACTCTGATTTTCTAATCACTATATCTTTGCAAATTGATGTCGTAGACATGATGGAGGGGATAAGAAAATTTGAGCTTGTGGCAAAATTCAATTCATTTGTAAACGTTTTTAGGTATAAAAGAAGATTTACAGTTTAAAAATAAGAATCCTTTCAGTTTCTCAGCATGCGTTCTGTTTATACTGAATCCTGAACCCCTGGGTACTTCCTTGGTTTCTAGCTCCAGTATGCACTCCGACTATAAAGGGAAGGGAGTTGGTTGTGATGGGTAGGTTTCTGGGTATACCCGGAGTAAAACCGTCCGTCAGTGCCGCCCCACACCACCGGTCATAGGTGGGTTCGGTTCCTGGAAATTAAACATGTTAACAATGATTTGGCAGAATTTACTAAAAATTAACTAGAATTTAAACCTGTGGCTGAGCCGCGAGGTATGATGATATAATCCGTGGTACAATATACATCTCCTCTAAACAAACAACAAGTTTTAAATTGGATATTTAAATGAATTGAGTTTTTGCCCAAAAACTCTGATTTCTAATCTTGATATATATACATATTTCTAACAACATACCTTATTCACTTGCATACAGAATTGTACGAATTTGCAGCAAACCAGAACTTAGGGATGCCCAATTCTTTAAACTAAGGGATTTTCTTCTCAGCAGGGATTACAATTCTTCAATTGTTGACTCTGCTATAGTCCGAGCTAAAGCTATACCTAGAGAAGTTGCTTTAAAGAAAGTGAATAATCTTTTTGTTTGTTTATATTCTTGTGATTTTTACAATTTTTTTAATTTTTTTAATCGATTTTGATGGTTATTATATCGTTAGAACTGACGAGGGTCAACCCAGCCCGAAATATATTTTCAATAAATGTGGAACTAACATCTACTTTTTTACTCTACAGAGGTTTGGTCCATCACTATCACTGAATTTTATATATATATATATATCTCAAATTTTCGAATTCCTAAATCTGATCGTGTAAACCCTTGATATTTCAAACTCCGTTTATTTGATCTAACATTATTCATTTATAGAAATATTTAAGTTCCACACCACTGGGTTAATGGTGTGGATCTTAGATCTGTCAAACCACTTTTTGGATTGTAAAGCTTTGTAATCTGCAGAGTTATTACTGTTCTAACCAGCAGAGTGAATTCTGTTCTAACCTGCAGTCGGAGTCCTGTTCTAACCTGCAGAGTTATTATTGTTCTGACCAGCAGATTGAGTTCTGTTCTGACCTGCAGCATGAGTCCTGTTCTAAACCACAGAGTTATTACTGTTCTAACCAGCAGAGTGAGTTCTGTTCTAATCTGCAGCCTAAGTCCTGTTCTAACCAGCAGAATGAGTTCTGTTTTAACCTGCAGAGTAAGTCCTGTTCTAACCTGCAGAGTAAGTTTTGTTCTAACCTGCAGAGTAAGTCCTGTTCTAACCTGCAGCCTGAATTCTGTTCTAACCAGCAGAATGAGTTCTGTTTTAACCTGCAGAGTAAGTCCTGTTCTAACCTGCAGAGTAAGTCCTGTTCTAACCTGCAGAGTAAGTTCTGTTCTAACCTGCAGAGTAAGTCCTGTTCTAACCTGCAGCCTGAATTCTGTTCTAACCTGAAGAATGAGTTCTGTTTTAACCTGCAGAGTGAGTCCTGTTCTAACCTGCAGAGTGAGTCCTGTTCTAACCTGCAGAGTGAGTCCTGTTCTAACCAGCAGAGTGAGTCCTGTTCTAACCAGTAAAATGAGTTCTTTTCTAATCTGCATAGTGAGTCCTGTTCTAACCAGCAGAGTAAGTTCTGTTCTAACCTGTAGAGTTAGTTCTGTTCTAACCTGCAGAGTGAGTTCGGTTCTAAACTGTAGAGTTAGTTCTGTTCTAAGCTGCAGAATGAGTTCTGTTCCAACCTGCAGAGTGAGTCCTGTTCTAACCAGCAGAATGGGTCCTGTTCTAATCTGCAGAGTGAGTCCTGTTTTAACCAGCAGAGTGGGTCCTGTGTTAACCTGCAGAGTTAGTCGTGTTCTATCCTGCAGAGTGAATCTTGTTCTAAACTACAGAGTAATTCCTGTTCTAACCTGCAAAGTGAGCCCTGATCTAACCTGCAGAGTGATTTTTATTCTAACCTGCAGAGTGAGCCCTGATCTAACCTGCATAGTTAGCCCTGTACTAACCTGCAGAGTGAGTCCTTTTCTAAACTGCACGGTGATTCCTGTTCTAACCTGCAGAGAGAGTCCTTTTCTAAACTGCACGGTGAGTCCTGTTCTAACCTGCCGAATGAGCCCTGTACTAACCTGCAGAGTGAGTCCTTTTCTAAACTGCACGGTGAGCCCTGTTCTAACCTGCCCTTTTCTCATCTACAGAGTGAACCCTGTTCTAACCTGCAGAGTGAGTCCTGTTGTGTACATGAGTTGAGATTATCCATCCTATAGTCCTGAGCCGAGTATGTTATGCTACAGTAACCCTTCTCCTGCCTGATCCAATCTTTATCTCACCATGATAACTGAGAACTAAAGATTACTTAGATAGGTCCAATCTTTATTTCACCATGGTAACTGAGAACCAAAGATTACTTAAATAGGTCCACTCCAATAGGTCTCACTATGATCACGCAGAACTAATAATTACTCAGAAAGCCCAATCTTTATCTCACCGTGATCACGCAGAACTAAAGATTACTTAGATAGGTCCAATCTTTATCTCACCATGATAACTGAGAACTAAAGATTACTTAGATAGGTCCAATCTTTATCTCACTATGATCACGCAGAACTAAAGATTACTCAGATAGGATAGAACACTGTGAATCAAAATATTGACGCTCTTTCGCAAATCATCATAAGAATATAATGAATAGCGAGGTACAGATAGATGAACTACTCCTCTAAAGTGTGACTACACTCTCCACTAAAACCCAAAATGTATTCTGCCAGTGTACTGCAAATTATGCCTAGTTCAACTTTGTTTTATAAACCTCTGACCCTCTAAATATTAAGCGTAATCAACGATATAAAGTTCAACCTCTGACCCTCTAAATATTAAGCGTAATCAACGATATAAAGTTCAACCTCTGACCCTCTAAATATTAAGCGTAATCAACGATATTTGTCCTGCAAACCGGAGTTTCTTCATTATTTGACTTTGATTAGAAATTGTGCAAATATGTATTTAATTCTACGCAATTTGAACCCTACGCAAGATACGCATCTCAATTTAAATATAATATTACAACGGCCTTATTAAGACTAGTTTTATAATTATTATCTTATTTATTTGTATGATGGCATTAAATAAAAATGGCAATAATACTGTAAACTTAATTATTGAAACATTTTTAAACATACCATATTATTCTTTTTTTATGTTAAAAATTCTTCATTTTTTGTAAACAGTCATTACCCAGCAATTTTGATTAGAAATGGTTTGATTAATGCCTCTAAATTATTTTAAGGTACAATTAAAGCAGTTAACAATATATTTTCCAAATTAAAGCAAATTATCGATTAATAAAAAGACAAACATTGAAACTGTTTTCTAATAAGAAATGCCAATATCCAAAGCATGGTGAGAGAATAGGATTAGAGGATCGAATGAGTCTTTGCCGCTTACTCAATTTCTTTCTTCCCTATATCTTTGCAACCTGATTGTGTAAACCTTAGATATTTCAAACTTCAATTATTAGATCTAACATAGTTCGAAATATCAAAGTATATAAACAAGGATTTTATGTTTACAATCTATATTATGTCACAGTTAATGATCGGCAATACCTCGGTTCAAACAACGATGATTTTAAGTTTCCTTTTAATTAAAATTTTGTAAAACCATAAAACGAATATTTTTATATAAAGAATGCCCTTCAGAGATTTTTGTTGGACTTTTTTATGTACAAAATCATTAAACGGTTAAAAAGAAGTTATTGTCTCAGTTTGTGTACAGTGTACACAAATCCCATCCCCTCCCCCGGTTCTTAAATGACGGATTAAGGGTAGGCGCATACATACTGTGAACATTTTAATAAAATGTCCCACAACGCCAAGACATGAAGGACATTGCAAACCAATTTAATTCTGTCATATTTCTCTAATTATTGTTTAGTTCATGGTTGAAAAGTTTACATTAGGAATATATGTACTTACACTAGGTTATTAGAGCACCACTTTCACTCATACTCTTATTTACACTATAACTTTCACTTTTCTCTCACTTACACTCTTATTTACAATATAACTTTCACTTTTCTCTCACTTACACTCTTATTTACGATATAACTTTCCCTTTTCTGTCACTCACACTCTTATTTACAATATAACTTTCCTTTTTCTGTCACTTACACTCTTATTTACAATATAACTTTCCCTTTTCTGTCACTCACACTCTTATTTACAATATAACTTTCACTTTTCTGTCACTCATACTCTTATTTACAATATAACTTTCCCTTTTCTGTCCGATATAACTTTCACTTTTCTCTGACTTACACTCTTATTTACAATATAACTTTCACTTTTCTCTCACTTACACTCTTATTTACACTATAACTTTCCCTTTTCTGTCACTTACACTCTTATTTATAATATAACTTTCCCTTTTCTGTCACTAACACTCTTATTTACAATATCACTTTCCCTTTTCTGTCACTTACACTCTTATTTACGATATAACTTTCTATAACTATCATTTACACTGTGTGTACGTCTAATATATAGTATTTTTCATTTGCCTTCTTCATTATTAATGTAGACCCAAGAATGATGAGTACATGATAAATTACTAGTCCGACTTTATGACCTCGTGGCTCCTCAAGCTAAGTCTACAGAATATGTCAAATACAAATTTACTCAGTTCCATGTTAGAATTTTTAAGCGTTTTTTATTTCTTCTCCGCAGGTCTTCAGAAAGAGAAGTTATTTACCAAAAACATTTCAGGTTTCAATCTAATGTGGAATTCACTTTGATTTAATCATGTATGCAGTATCATCAATATTTCAAAATCAATTTGGATTTTAATTCCTAGTGTGTGAGAAGTTTTTTTAAAAAACAATACACCATTTAAAACTCCTGTCCGTGGTTTTAGCATTTGATTACAATTAAAAATTACTCAATCACTTTTCAAATACATGGTATTTTAAATCAAAACCATATCTTTAACAAGAAGGCCAGTGGACGTGACACTGTACAATGTCAATATGCACGTGATAGAAGCATACCTCGTATAACATCACATTTTATTAGCAGCACACCACACATGTTCCAGCACGTTAAAAAGAAAACCACATGTACCAATATAATTCAGAAGCAAGAAAAAGAACGTTTACCAGTATTCATTTGGATGAAAACAAAATTTTGGAGAACCAATTTTTGTAGTTCTTTAATTATGAGTTATATAATTTCAGTCTGTATTTCGAGGGTTAACCAGATAGGATGAGACTGTAAAGACGACCTGAAAGTTGAAACTATCAAAATATAACATTCTAAGGGTAAATTGAGTCTTATGCCTTGAACATAGAAAAAAATGAGTTTACAGTGGCAAGCAATCATGAATTTAAGGAAAATACATCATACAATCCTTACAACCGTCTCTGAAGTCTTATATTTTTTTTGATAAAACTGTACATTTGTACTACTTTATGATGCGTATTGCTCAATGTCTAAAACAAGTATTTTTTTGCCTGATGTCTAACTGATTGCTGTCTAGATAAAATATGTCTAATGTCTGATGTCTAAAATTCTAACTGATTGTGGTCTAAATGAAATATGTCTAATGTCTGATGTCTAAGTTTCTTTTGATTATTGTCGAAATGAATTATGTCTGATGTCTAAGTTTCTAACTATTTGTTGTCTAAATCAAATATGTCTAATGTCTAATGTCTAAGTTTCTAACTGATTTTTGTCTAAATTAAATATGTCTAATGTCTGATGTCTAAGTTTCTAACTGATTATTGTCTAAATCAAATATGTCTAATGTCTAATGTCTAAGTTTCTAACTGATTTTTGTCTAAATTAAATATGTCTAATGTCTAATGTCTAAGTTTCTAACTGATTTTTGTCTAAATAAAATATGTGTAATGTCTGATCTCTAGGTGTCTAACTGATTGTTGTCTAAATAAATTTGTCTAATGTCTAATGTCTAAGTTTCTAACTGATTTTTGTCTAAATAAAATATGTGTGATGTCTGATGTCTAAGATATTAACTAAGTGTTGTCTAAATAAAATATGTGTAATGTCTGATGTCTAGGTTTCTAACTGATTGTTGTCTAAATAAAATATGTCTAATGTCTAATGTCTAAGTTTCTAACTGATTGTTGTCTAAATAAAATATGTGTGATGTCTGATGTCTAAGTTTCTAACTGATTGTTGTCTAAATCAAATATGATGTGTAATGTCTGATGTCTAAGTTTCTAACTGATTGTTGTCTAAATCAAATATGATGTGTAATGTCTGATGTCTAAGTTTCTAACTATTTGTTGTCTAAATAAAATATGTCTAATGTCTGATATCTAAGTTTCTAACTGATTTTTGTCTAAATCAAATATGTGTAATGTCTGATGTCTAAAATTCTAACTATTTGTTGTCTAAATAAAATATGTCTAGTGTCTGATGTCTAAGTTTCTAACTGATTATTGTCTAAATTAAATATGTCTAATGTCTGATGTTCGAAGAAGATTGATCCCTGAAGCATATTGAATAATCCATATTTGCAAGGTGGAAAAAAGCATCAGAATTCTCCCAGTTATAACTTTCAAATAAACCTGAAATAAGAAAAATTAAACATTGTTAAAAAATGATTTAGAAATAATAGAAAAAGAGGAAATGACATCTAAATAAATGTTTTCATTCAAATCCCATTCGCCGACAAAAAAAATATTATAAAGAAAAAAAGAAAATTAAATTTGCGTGTATAAGTATTTAGTTGTTCTCAAAACACGTAAAATAACCTAATTATCTATAAGTTTTTAATAAAGTATCAAGTATTTAAACCCCCCGCTTATAGTTGTACTGTAAGATTTCTTTAATTTTAAGTCGAAAACCCCCTGTAAGGAAAACTCTTTATTTTAGTGTGGATGAACAATTATCCTGGTTTGTACAGGGTTACCCACAAAGGATGAGATTGGAAAAATTACTTGAAACTCTTTAAAAATGACAAAGCAAAGATTTCTACAACTTTATACACCCTTTTTCTTCTTTGTCCAAAGTTTATCACAAACCACTAAATCCAACTTTCTGTGGGTTAAAGAATGATTGTTTAACATCATTCCCAGTTTATATGGCGATAGATGCATCAATCAAAAAATCTAATAAAGTCTAAAAATGTCTCCATTGCTGTACAACTTTTATAGAAGAAATATATATTGAAAGGAATTGAGTCTTTGTCACAAAAACTCTGATTTTTAAACCCAATGTTGTAGACCTTAGATATTTCAAACTATGACTTCTGTTATATCAAACAATCAAAGTTTGAAATGTCAAAGGTATACATAATTTGGTTGTATATATAGGTATTAGAAAAATGGGATTTGTTGCAAAGACTCAATTCCTTTCCATTCAATTTTAAAACCGTAAGGTCATTTATTATGTTAGTACAGCACATTAAGTATGTAAAACTAAATTCCGTATCTAAACCAGTGTGATATATACAATATATTTTGTAATTCAAATGTTAACTCGTAAAACCTAACGTAAAATGAAAATATTTGTTTTTTTTATTCAAGTATAAATGAAGTCTTCTACCTTAAATACATTTTTTTAAATGGAATATTCAATAATTAGGAAAAGAGAGAAACACTTTTAATCATAAATATAAGGAAACAGACAGACATACAATCGTCTCTGAAGTCTTGTCCTTTGTGGGTAACCCTGTACGTACAAACGTTGGTTTAGAGAAGACGACATTTACACTAGTAATTACCAGAAATCCCAGTAAAGTACTGCATACATCCAACAATTGGAACAAGATTAGACCCACAAGTGTACTGCTTCACTAGGATCTCCCAGTACCTGTACAGTGTACAGTGTACATACATCAAGTGTACATAACGACAGAGGAATCTAATAAAGTTTTTATGAATAAAATCTAAAATTATTAAATTATATGTTTTTACCTGTTTTGTTGTGTTCCAACCAGCGTAAACATAATTACAAGGTTATCCGTTGGTACTGGGCCTGTATAAATTGTACAGTGAGTCCCATAACATTGTAGACTAGGATTAGGAAGACGAATTTTAAGCAATATTATGTGTGTTTGATGTTGTTATGAACTTATGAAGTAAATTGATTTGCAAGTAGTTTGAAGTTAAAATTATACAGTGAAATAGGTTTATGTAAAATGTACAGTTGCTATGCTTAATATTTAATTGGACTATTTTAAATCATAGTGTAAGTAAGTAAGTGTTTGTTCAACAGTCGTCTTCCAACGCCATAGTTTTATGGATCACAATGTAAATTACGTACGTACATTGTAAATTAGATTTATTTCCACTCACATTCATAAATCCAATCTATCCAAGCTGCTATGAGAAGTTGCATAAATTTTCAAAACTGGGTAGAATTTGCAATCTTTGAATTATTGTGCACTGTACACATGTAAATCCCTTTGATCATAGTGCACTGTACACATGTAAATCCCTTTGATCATAGTGACTGTACACATGTAAATCCCTTTGATCATTGTGCAATGTACACATGTAAATCCCTTTGATCATTGTGCAGTGTACACATGTAAATCCCTTTGATCATTGTGCACTTTACACATGTAAATCCCTTTGAATTATTGTGCACTGTACACATGTAAATTCCTTTGATCATTGTGCACTGTACACATGTAAATCACTGATCCAAAGGTTGCAAGCTCTCCCTCAAGAATTTTGCCAATTACTTTTTTAAAACTACGCTAAAGTGATTTGAAGTTCTTAATTGTAACATGTCTAAGGCTTTAAAAACAGTATAGGTTAGTTAATGAGTTAAAATTGAAGGCCAAGACATTGTGGCACTTTAAAGTCGACCCAGTCTTAAAAATCGATGCTACTTTTTATAGCTGTTTGGATCTATGTGAAATCTTACCTATGTCAACATACATATGGTAGTCGGAGTTTTTCCCGCATAATTTGGGAGTAACATATCCAGATGGAGTAGATATCTCTAAACATTAAAGGGACTGTATGTAGACGGAATTTCAAGGATCCTTCAATTTTATAAACATTCTTCAATTCACAACGGGACTCTGTACATCTTCCTACTCTAATGGAGGAATGAAATATCCTAGTTTTTCTACGGTGGAAATATCAATCGAATGCGTCGAAAAATAATCGATGACTATAGGTTGTAATATCTGAACGATTTGTTAGGAATTAATTTGTTTTAATTTACGATCCGAGTTGTATGCTACAGCTTTCTGAATTTGTATAGATGCTACGTTCTGCGGTATGAGTCGTTTTTAACAATTTTCTCCTTGTAGACGAAACAGATGGAAGTAAGATTAGTAGCGATCACCATCGATAATTTTTCGCGTAAGTCTATACCCCTTTAATTTTTTGTGAACACTCCCTTTAAATTCTAATTGCTAACAAGATTTTTTCGAATTACAAGCTTACATGTAATTAAAGAGAAGCTTTTTAATTTAAGAGCTTCTCGTTGTTTCCATTCTTTTGTGTATCCATGATGCAGTTTAAAAGCTCGATAAATTAAAATTGGAATCGGAAGTCGTCTTCATTATATTGATATAATAGCCTACCACTGTATCTGAATTAATAATATTTTATTATGGTTTCTCTATAAATCTGACAGGCGAATTTATGTAGCAAAGAGGAATTTTGTTCAGGGAAAGGTTTGACGGGTATCATTGTGAATCGAAATCTATAAATGGAAGCAGGGGCTTTGTCCAGGGGGGGGCTTAAGTTATTTTTCTCTTTCGAGGGGGGGCTCAGCACCCGTTGGGGCCTGAAAACCCCCTGAAATCAATAGATTTCACTGGTCCAGGGGGGGCTTAGCCCCCATAGCCCCCCCCTGGATACGCCTCTGAATGGAAGTTCCCTTAGAATTATGTCTCCAGCCCAATATAACTATATATTTATCGATTCTTCATTCTTAATCTTTAAAACATATTTTTTTTATGTTCAAAGTTCACTTACCTAGATAGTCTTTTTCATTACATAAACCGTCACCGTCTGGATTCGTTAATACCATTTGAACCATATCTAACCTAGATAAGAAACATATCACTAATGCAATATAGTGAGAACAATAATAAAAAATACAATAATAGAGAAAATTCTAACAGTGTCATGAGATATTAAATATGTGGGTGTTTTTAAATTTAAGGACAACTGTTTCATTCCTAAATCATAGTTATCCATGCAGGGTATGACCAACACGTAATATCGAAGAGTAATTAATCTGTATATATGCATAATGCTTAATCCCGAGAAAAACAAAAGTTCTTACTTTTGAACATTTATGAAAATAAATAAGTTGCAACAAATGCAAGTTTCAAAATATTTAGCGATATTTAAAAAATTAAACAAAGACGATATTCTTTCGACAGTTTTCTGCATCTCCCTGTATTTTTAGTTTAAAATATATATTTATATCTACATATTTACATACTAAGTCTATGTTGTAAAAGTTAGTTTAGATATGCAATTTGTTTTATACCTCTTCTATCTTTTCTCTTTTTTCTAATGTTACATCTGCTTGCATTTCCCTTCCTCAGGCAATATACATTCTACATTGCATTGCATTGCACTCACCCAAACTAAAAGATTGTTGTGAATCAGAATTAAAATTAATTCTGCTTTAAAACAATACCCTTCAAAGCTTGGTCTGATCAAGTATTGCATTAAACATCCATGTTTCCCATTTTGAAAACTGAATATTTTTATTTGTGGTTTCTCTACAAAAGTGACTCGCGCATTTCTTGCTTCAGAAACGATGGAGAAACGAAGGTTTTAAAGGTGCATAGGACATGCCACTCTATAAATGGAAGGTCACTTGAAATTACGCATGTATTCCAATTAAGTATAATTACATCGTATAAGAAAAAAATACTTTAAAATCTCACTTTTGCCCTTAACTAAAAAAGTTCCATTAAAAAAAGCTTTAATCAATACTGCCTTCAGTGTATATATATATTTGATTTCATTTCTTATACAATATGTACCAATCCTATAAAAATATAGATATTTTTTTAGAACTGTTTCCATCTATATTTTTCATCCCTTGAAGCTTACACCCCAGTATTAAGAGGGATTGCCGATTTTGGAAAATTACATAAATAATTTATTAACGCTTATAATATGGAATAGTGTGTATATGATTGAATAGTTTGCATAGTTAAAAAAAGGTTTCAATATTTTTTTCAAAAAAGGGGGGTTTTAAGGGGGGGGGCACAATGTTGCGAAGGTGGGGGAGGGCACAACATTTTTTTGCGCTTGACGCTCCCTTTGCTTTAATTAAATTTGATCACCTGGCAACACAAATATTGGGTTCTTCTTTGTTGATATAATAGGTACAAGTACCTACAATAAACATGGGAAAAAGATGGAAAAAGATGGAAAAAAGGGAAAAAGATAAACAGATATGTTACCTGGGGTTTTATATGCGCTCGGGAAATTTGGGTTTAGAATATAGGAATTGTTGGATTTTATAGACATGGAGCAACGGCCTACAATCTATACCAAAGCACAAAGAATTAGAAAGTAAAAGAGAATATGGAAACGGAAAAAGAAATAAAAAGAGGATTTATGAGAAAGAAAAAATATGAGGAAATTCTTGTCATTCTTTTTGAAAAATTTAAATGATCGTGGTTTCTCTTTATAAAATAAAAATGACAAATGTGTCAAAAGCAAGATGAAGAACAAGTAGAAAGACTAAAGTTGTAGAAAGAGTTGAAACATAGAAATAGAGCAATAACAGAAAAATTAGAAATAGAAAGGAAAAGAAGATTAAGAAGAAATGTGAATAGATTAATATCAATAGAAAAAAAGGAGGAAATAAAAATATAAACAAGTTTAGCACGGTAAAAATAAATCCTCTAGTTATTGGCCTGGTAGCAGCAAACTCCAAAACCAAGAGCACAAGATCCCTAAACAGGAAGAAATTCAACTTTTATCTTTTTTTAACATTTATATTTTTTATTTTTTAAATATAATGTCATTCATTTCTTGACACCTACCAGAGCAATCAGAGCAAAGAAAAATAAGTCTTCCTATTAAAGTCAAAAAAATAGAAAACAGATTCCTTCTAAGCTTGTAGAATCCTTAGAAAAAAAAATAAAATAAAATTTCCTTCTCTTTTTATAGAGTCACCCACAAAAGATGAGATTGTAAAGAAGACATAAAAGTCAAATAATATGACAATCCTAAAACTAAGGTAAGTTTTTGCTTCGAATATAGTCTTTTAATGGGCTCTTCAATGATTTTGTAAAGACAATAAGTTTACCGTGTTATAATCTCCAAGATTATAAATTCTAACGATATTTTCTATCAAAATAACTGTTTGGCTCCTACTAGAGATGAAATAAATGACGGAGAGGATTCTCATGAGATATTCAGCATCGATGGAGATCATTTCCTTTTGTTACTCTGGACAATCAAGAATCAAGAAAAATTTATTTAGTTTACAGAAATATATGTTTTGTATTCATTGTACATGTTTCTCCCTTCCCCTCCTATTCTATTTTTATAATCTCTGAATTACAAATTGAGTTCATTCTTACAATTTCTACCTTCACAAGTCCTATATTTCTATCATCATCGTGCAATATGCATATTCTAGAACATTCTCTCCCTTACAAGCCATGAAATATGTCCTAGTTTTTCACCATAATTATTGAGTTCATTCTTACAACTTCTATCTTCTCAAGCCCTATATTTTTATCATCATTGTGCAATATGCATGTTCTAGAACATTCTCTCCCTTGCAAGCTATGAAATATGTCCTAGTTTTTCATCATAATTATGCAATACCAGGCCGTATAAAAAGGCCACCTTTTCGTAGTAGATTGAGTCTGGGATTCACAGGCAGAACTACTACTACTCTTCTAAAACCAGGTTTCTCTATATATTTATATTCCCCTAAACCCTCCCTCTCTAATATCTTCTTGTTTTTAACTTAACATTTTTATGCATCTTTATGCTTGTGAAATTTTCCTTATAAACTTGGCTAGTTTTTAACTTAACATTTTTATGCATCTTTTTATGCTTGTGAAATTTTCCTTATAAACTTGGATAGTTTTTAACTTAACATTTTTATGCATCTTTTTATGCTTGTGAAATTTTCCTTATAAACTTGGCTAGTTTTTAACTTAACATTTTTATGCATCTTTTATACTTGTGAAATTTTCCTTATAAACTTGGATAGTTTTTAACTTAGCATTTTTATGCATCTTTTATACTTGTGAAATTTTCCTTATAAACTTGGCTAGTTTTTAACTTAACATTTTTATGCATCTTTTATACTTGTGAAATTTTCCTTATAAACTGGGCTAGTTTTTAAACTTATGTATTTTTATGCATCCTTTTATACTTGTAAATTGTCCTAAAATACTGAGCTCGTTTTGAACTTATATATTTTTATGCACCTTTCATACTTGTTCGAATTTTGTCAAATTTTTAACTTGTAAAAATTATATGTCAATAAATCAAACTTTAAAATTCCTGTTATTCAATTCTGCGAGCACACTGTTAAATATTAGAAGTCTTATAAATTTCATCAAAAGGTTTAATTGATACTTAGACTGAAATCTATCAATTTTTAAATTATTTGTTTTGATTCCAAATATTCGAAAGAACATTACAACCGTGACAGGGAATCATTAATACTAGAAGGTATCAGACAATATAAATTCTGTGTAGTCGTCTTTGAAGTCGCATCCTTTGTGGGTAACCCTGTACATTCCTAGTTAATACATTGAAATATTCTACTCTATAAAGAATATAGAATTCCAATTAAAACAGTAAAACATCCTAAGCGCAGCAAATGTTGCTCCAAAGGCGAGATAAAGTACAGCATGGATACATGTAAACATGGAAAGTAAGACAAGCTGTCAATAAACAGCTTGTTTCAGCACTTGTAAACTTTGAAAAAAGCTTGTTTTTAGAAATCGAAACTTGAATAGAAAAATTCTCTTTATTTTATTGATATGAACGCATTCAAAAGATTGTTTGTTGTTACAGAAATGTTATGGAGTGGGATAATAAAGTAACATGACATCCCGCAAATAATAAATCCGGGGAATGACCAGAAATGTTGGAAGGCAACAAATTTCGAAAATCATATTTTCAATAATTATACCTGGGGCGCCCCTCCTATGTCTCTACACTTGGACTCCGTATGACAGGTTCCTAGTTTACCATTAAGGGTGGGACAAGGTTCATCAGGGAATTTAACCAGAGAGAACAAGGATAATTGGCGGCCATCTTTACTAAACAAGGAAGAAAACGGAATTTAATATCGTCTTCATTAGAATTATAAAAATCCGGGAAATAAAATATTAAATAAATTATTTCTCATGTTCCGAACCGTTCTCAGGTTCCTTACTAGTTGCTTGACGGTGACATCCAATGTTAACCTAAATCTTGTTCAAAATACAGATCGCTCAGAAAGAAGAAATTGTTCTTAGTTAAGGGACTGTAGGCGTTATTTTAAGTCCATTTTAAATTAGAATTTCTGTTTTATTATTTGCTTTTATTCATAGCCCAATCTTTTGTGTGTCCTATTAACCTAATTTGGGGCGTGTCAACATCATCATATTTATCTATGGTTACCATGGTTTTGAAGAAAATATGTATAGAAATTGAAGAAAAAAGTAAACTATTTTTGTTTGTTTGCAGTAACAGAAAGCAAATAGAACTAAAGGCATTTCAACAAAATATATTTTTTCCGGTTTCAAGTAATCACTTCCCGCAATTTTTTTTTTGCAAAACTAGATTTGGAATCTAAAAACAAATTTAAAAGAACTATACGGTTGCAAAAAGTATCATTGTGTAATTATAAAAATTCAAATATTGGTGTGTTCAATATTTTCGTTCTTTATTGTAGTTTTATTGTTTTAAAAGGGTTAAATGAGATTTTTAGGTAAATCCCTTTNCAGAACTTCCTATAGCTCCCCACGTAGCGAATGAGGAAATTACGTCTGAAAGAACTTGCACAAAACAATTTGAAACCCATTACTATTAATATTGATAAGCATTCATTATTATGCAAATAAAAACACATCATTAAATACTTGACAAGAATCATTTATTTCTCCTTTGTTAATTTGAATGTACTTTTTTTGTAAATGGATAAGTATAGGTAACAATAAGTTTATAAGAAATTGTAGTAATCTAAAATGTTTAGAAAACGCATAAAAATAGCAACGAATACCCGGATTAACCTCCCCACATCAAACCAATCGTTGCATAGTAAACACTGTACAAGGATACCAGTGTAGTGTTTACTCGTACCAGCCCCTCTAGTGTACCTCAAGTATGTAGTTGATCCACATATTTTTCAAATAAAAGATTTACCAATGGAACATACTAATATATCAATATTTAAATCATTATTTTTTTCGTTCAGAGAAATTGTTAAGAGTAACTCTAATAAAAATAACTATTCACTTAGATTCTTTTTGATCAAGAATGGAGATTACCAATTCCTCATAAATTACTCAAAGTTAAAAGTGATAATTTTGTCCATAACAATTTGGTGAATATTGTTTTTTTCAACCATGATTATCTTTTATGTACTATATTTTTATATCTATATACTTTTAGTTTTGTTTAGTTATGCTTTTAGCATGATTTCATCTTTTTGTATACGAAATTAATCTATAATAATAAAGCTTTCTCTTATTATATGCTTTCATCTATAAAAAAATATGTACAGACAGTTCATCTTTGGTAAAAAACTACAAATGAATTAACTGAACAAACAAATAAAAATGATCAACACTAACCTTTTTTCTTTCATTGTTTGATTCATAGCGTCAGCTTGAGTATATACGAATACGATGAATAAGAAGACGACAAGTCCTTCTCTTCTCATGGTTCAGATTTAACTATAGCTCTCCTACTACTGAGTATTTTATCCAGGAAATTCCAGTGAATCCACCTGGATACAAGGAATACAGGGGATACAGGGAATGCAAGGGATACAGGCCAAAAGGGGATACAGGGATTCAAGGGATACAGGGAATACAAGAGGATACAGGGGATACAGGGGATACAGGGAATACAGGGAATACAGGGAATACAAGGGATACAGGGGATACAGGGATTCAAGGGATACAGGGGATACGAGAGGATACAGGGGATACAGGGGATACAGGGGATACAGGGGATACAGGGGATACAGGGGATACAGGGGATACAGGGGATACAAGAAATAAAGCCTGTATGTTTTCAACATAATTTCTAATTTAAAGAAAAATCAAGGGCGACGCTCACTTCCTTCTTCAAGGGTTTAAACAAAAAACTCGCCAGAATGGTTTAAAAATTGCTAAAAACACGCGGCACGCCTCTGACTGTTTAGACTACAAAGACGACTTTATGTTTGGTTTTCTCTTTAATTTAACCAATTGATACTCACCATGGCAGTTAGAACTTGTTTCTTTCATTTAAAATTTTTAGAACACACGTTGAGCAGAAATCAAGATTTTTCGCTAGATTTATAAAATTAT